GAACAGTTTTGTGAGAAAGATCTTAAGTTCAGTTTTGACAAGTTTGAATTGATTTGCTTTTCACAATACTGATGGAGCTGGTTAGGACCTATTAAATTTACTTGTCTTGGTCTAGATGTATAGGTTGAGTATCCCGTATCCAAAATGCTTGGGACTAGAAATGTTTTGGATTTCAGATTTTTTCATATTTTGGAATATTTGCATTATACTTACTGGTTCAGCATAATCTGAAAGTCCTGAAAATCCTGAAAATATGATTGAATTTCATATCCACACTCAAAAAGTTTTGGGTTTTGAAACATTTTGGATTTGGAATTAGGAATACTTAACCTGTATTGGGTTGAAGGCCATCTGTGTATAAGTGGCAGATAAAACATGGAAGGATTGAGAATAACTTTGAGGAGGAGGGGAGAATGTGGAAGCGTAAGAGAGAAACACCACTGTTCATGGATTTTACAAAAGATCTACATCTTAGAAGAATGAGAAGGTACAGGATGGGATTGGCTATTGGACTTGGAGGGTAGGATGAGTTAGAAAAGAATCTCAGAACTCTAGAACTAGATGTAACACTATATTAATAAATCATCTAACTAGTATTTATGAAATAATTAGTGATATGGACACACCATTCAGTTCTTTCTGGGGCCAATTCATGAGATTGATATTGTTTTCCACCATCATTGTTTCCTGTAGGCAATGAATCAGGCTGCGCATATTCCATTCCACTGTGTCAATTCAGACAGACAAAAGGACCTGATAACCTCTGGCATATACGTGAAAGGAACTGCTTTTACACTGTTGAATTTTAATTATGATGTGATTCTGTAAAATTTCTGTTTCTCCAAGCATTTAGAAGAAAAATAAAGTATATAGACTTCTAATTTAAAAAATATATATTATGTGCATTTTTATTATCTTGTAGAGTGAGTTTGCAAGGTCGTCCTGATGTACTCTTGAATATCAAAGCTCATGTGGTCGAGCAGATTATTGAATTGTTACACATGAATAGTGACAAAAAGTTGGAATGCATACGTTTTGGTTCCATTTTCTTTGGAACATCAAAACTTGAACATGCACATCTATACAATAATAGCCCAGAATCCATGAATTGGGTGGCCATAATGCAAGATAATTCTGTGGGAGAAGAATTGGTAAGTAAATGGTGCAACAGAGGAATATCAGGTATTATGATTTGAAACAGATTGTATTAAATCTACTAATAACCAATAAGCTGTTTTATTAATCAAAATATGTTTTAACATGGGTAGATAGATTTGATTTCATGTGTATCCAGTGGTAACCTGAAAAACTTCAGAAATTAAGTAAACATTTATAGTAATATATATCTGAAGTAAACCAGACAAGTGTTTGTTATCGATCAGCAGCTAATTGTGGGAATTTATGTTCTCACCAATTTTTCTTTTTTTTTTATTCCCCACCACCACCAATTTTTCAATAGTTGTTTAAATTTTATCATGTGCCTTGGTCAAATTTATACATAAATGTTACTTTGAAGACAGATATTCTGTATTTCCTAGTTCTGAAATTTCAATAATTATTTTGTGACCTCATCTTAAAATATTTTTTGTTTCCATTTTGCCTTACTCTTTTATTTCTGATTTTATATTACAGGGCACAAATATTCAACAAAGAACAGATATTGCTTTAAATAATCTCACCTACTTAAACAAAATAAAGGACGTAGATGTTACTGATCTTATCTCCTGTGTTCCTAATGAAGGGGCTTTACTGCCTTATCAAAAGACTATAATTACATTTTGTTTCAGCCCAAAGTAAGCAAACATTAATTTTATTGCAGTGTTAAGTATTTTAATGTGAAATATATTAACCACACTTTAATCAGATTGATTTTAATACTGTCATAGTAAAACTTGCCAAAAGGCATAAATTAGATTTTTCTTGTCATGATTCTAGATGTTTCTAACATGGTTAATAGTATTTCCAATAATTCTAAATATGGTTCTAAATACTTCATGTTAAATTAAAAATCTTTCCAGATCTTGTAGAAATGGGGTGGTGGAAATGAAAACTTTGGACTGTGGCCTCAAACTAATTTGTGCAACCAAGATCTTGTTGTCCTTGTAGGAAGAGTCAGGTGCATGCAGTTATGTTTTAGGTGCCTCCAAAGAGGTTGCAGTGCTCCTGGCAGGGCAAAATCCTTGCTGAGAATCGTGAGTGTTAAGCCTATAGCACCTGCTGGGATCAACCGCACTCATTTGCTGAAATTCATATAGACTTTTAGCACTTAAGCCAACGTATATTTTTCACAACTCTACTTTCTTTGTTTCGTTATTTAGTTTGAAAATATTTTTGGAAATGTTTTAAATATATAGTGGCAATTTCAGCAACACCTTGGTAGATTGCAGTATATGTCAATAACGGATCCAATTGCAAGTATGTTTACCCTTGTTTGTGAGAATGTAATATTTAATGTATTTCTTTTTGTGGAACAAGATCACTTGGTGACATCAATTGCCTGTTGAAGATTGAGCTGTGTTTTAATTTAAGGAGGTTAATAAATCAAGTAATTGTTCTATTTGTATATCTACAATTGCCTTATTAATGATACCTTCACCCAGGAAATTTCTTTGGTAAATCTATAAGATTCTGTTTAATGCATAATCTTTGAAATTCCAAGTACTCTATTCTTTTTTATGGTAGCATGTTAACTTACAATATTTTGAGAGTGTAATATAGACTCATAAGTATGAGTATGATTTGAAGTCTTAAACATATTAGGAACACATCATTTGTATTCCCATTTAATATTGCACATCAGCCTTTTGTGAGTGTATTTGCCTATGCACTGCTAGAAGAGCTGACCTCTAGGTAAGGCAGGTAAAGATAGCCAATGTGCAGGCCTATGATGTAACCCACCTCTGTCTTTGGTCCTATTCCCCATCTTTCCACCCTTCCATTCCTTTTCTCCTCTAACAAGATTTAACTGTTACCAAATCTTTTTCTCCAAATTACTTGTTGTTCACTAACAAGAACGTGGCTGGCAATACGTACTTAGTACACTGGGGGAGTCAAATATATAACAGAGGTTTTTGATTACACCAAGGAGTAAGATGGACTATTGTAGAGAAGTAATCAGAGGCCTCAGGTAGAGATGAATTCTGCCTGGAAAGAAAATCCTTTACAGAGAAAGGGGCATTTGAGCTAGACCTTGAGGATTTAGTGTATTTAAATTACTCTTCATTTGCAAATGTTGGCACAAACTCATTTTTCTGAAGCTTTACACCCTGTGGCCTTCTTTTGGTAATTCTCTCTAGCTGTGCAGTAATTTTGAAAATGGATCACAGTTGTATTTTTATTCCTTAACTTTCATTTTCTTGCATAGATTTAAAGATTGGGTCGATACTCCCTTTTGAGAGATGATAAAATGTATCACCTTTGTTCTAAAAGTAACCAATTGTGATTTTTTACAGGTTACTAGTTGATACTAAAAAGGATATTGAACCTTCACACAGGCAGGACTATGCTCTCTTTATGAGATTTGAATGTGTAGGAAGTAAAGATGGATATTTGAGAGATGAGAACTGTAAAACCATCAAAAGTAAGTGTGAAATTAACAAAATAATGAAATGTGTAGCAGTTTAAATTTTTTAGAAATTCAAACATCGGTATTTGTAGAGGCAATTTAATAAAAATAGACAATTATTGAATAGAACAAAAATGCTAACGTGTTCAAGAAAACTTAAAGTGTCATCTGTGGCATGTTAAAAAAGAAATCAACCTCAGAATCATTTACATAATAATTTTCCAGGTTACAATTTAGATG